TCTTTATCATATACATAATTTACAAAACTGAAACTTTGTCTTTGAAACTCTTAAAATGGTTTAATTCAAAAGTGATTATTTTAAATTATTTCCTGCTAAAATTTATGATAAATAGTATTTCAAATGCTTACGCAGCACACATACAAACATAATAATACAATTTTGATAATTTCAACAATATTTAAAAACACTTTTTTATTATTATACCTCCAAAGAAATGTAATATGTAAGGTTTAAAATGAATTTTTAAAAATGAAAAATCTTGAAGCTTTTATTTTAGTTTTAATTTGAAGCTAATAGATTAAATTAAAAAATGGCTGATTTTAGCCATATTTACAATTCTCTCAGCACAATGTAACTATTAAAAAAATATTTCAAAAATATACTTTTCTGAAACTTTATTTGAGGAAGATTATCTGATTACTTTTAGCTTAAAATACCACAGAATAGCATTTTTTAGCACACATGGGTGTTTTTATGAGGTGTTGACAACTCTATTGATAATGTGATGTTTGGGAAATTTAACTGATTTTTTTCTATGTGGGGACATATCTGTAAAAATTACTTCAAGAATAAAACGTGAGTACCTTTTTTATATAATTTATTAACTACCCAGTGATCTTAAAAATTTAGGAAAATATTGTAAGTGATCTAATGTTTTATTGAATTTTAGGTACTTTAAATTTGCAATTGTTACCACTATTTATTTTCTGATAATGTTGTGTATGGATACACACAAAAAATTCAAAATTCTTTTTAAAATACTGAGGGTTACTGAATGATAGTAAGCTTTTCCATTTATAATTAGTAAATATAGTTTTTACATAGAAATTTCACATAACTGGTACAAATTAATACAGAATTTTCAGTTTATAAATTATTCTAATTAAAATTTTTAAAAAATGAAAAAGATTTCTCTTAAAACAATAGTGTCCATAATATATAATATATCTTATTCATAAAAGCAATTAAAACCTTTTTTTTAATCAATTAATGTCTTGATTTTATGGCATTCTTTTTTCTTTTACAATTCAGAGCAGATTTTCAGTGACTGTGGGTCCTGTTTTAGAAAAATAAATTGATGATTTAAATTCTTCAATGACTCCAATGATATAAACATTAAGCTATTCAAAAATGAATTTCTCATAATTTCATAAAATTAAATAAGTTAAATATTTTTACCAAGATTTTCTTTAAAAAAAAAAAAAAAAAGAATTGTTTCTAAAATAAGTTCTGTGAGTTTTATTAAAATCTGACAATTATTTGATTTTTGCAAGAACTTCCAAATCACCTCGAAAACACCCTAAAATTTCCTATATTAATTTATGATCACCTGTTAATGCAAAAAAATATTTTTTAACCCAAACTTTGAAGGTTCTAAAAAAGATCAAAAAATATTTAATAATCAAAAAATCCTTTGACTCTTAATAGTGTAAAGATTCAGACAATAAAACTTTGTTTTTATTAAGTTTAGGGCATTCTTTCATCATGTATTCTCATTTTTAGTGAATTTTTGGAGGTAGTTAAATCTTTTATAAATTTCACACAGTTAAGACTTTGTATGGTAGTTATTCATAATAAAAAGTATGTTTTAGTTTTTAATATTTAGTTGGAATTACAATCTGGTTATAGACGTTTTTGTTAGTTTTTTTCTTTAAAATGACAACAGACACTACATAATAACTCCTGGCTAAGAGTTTTAATTTAAAGAAAAATAAATTCATTTTTGCTCACTGGGGTAAACTAAATGAGCAAAATGAATTAATTTTTATTTAAATTAAAATAATTGTTGCTCTTCACAAAAGTTATGAGTTTTTGTTATTTTTTACAAGTTGAATCCAATAAAGCCAATCTGTTTTTGATCTTGTTGCAAAAACTGATTTTGCATTGTAATAGCTTTTTCCTTATTATTCATTAAAGCACTGGCATATCTCAATATTCTAACATTATTGATTGTGATTTTCACTTTGCATAGATTTAGCATAGCCATCTAAACATATGAAAAGGAATACATCTGAAATGGTTTTGTACAAGTTTTTCTAATTATACTGAAACTACTCTTTGCAATATCTAAATCTTGATCTTATAAATGTACACCTTTATGTTTTTTATTTTATGTTTCTTTTATTCAGCCTTGATGCCTTTCTGACAGAATGACATAGCCCCCCCCCATTTCACCAGTGCCAAATGTCATTGCCAGCTCTCTTTTCAGATAATCCTACTCTAACCTTAAAGATTCTATCCAATTGACAATATCCCCCACCTTCTTCTCTCTTCCCAGCCCTCTTACCACATAAGAGATATAATTTAGCTCTTTTTCTAACCCTACAAAGTTGGCTCAATGTCATATTTGTATAGGGTTTCCATACTAAATTATAACAGAAAAAAATTGTTGTTATTATTTCTTTCTTTCATTCCTTCTTTACTGCAAGAACAGTTTTCACTGTTATTGTTTACATTTTTTCTCATTATTTTTGTCTTAAAATTTCTACTTGTTTTACCCTTTCATTACACTACTAATAAAAAATGTAAATATTAAAATGTTCGCTTTTCAAAGCCAAGATTTAATCTGAAATTCTTAAGTTTGTCTTTTCACTGATAATTTTACTAAATTGCCTGTCAAATTAATCATATTAGTTCTTTTTCTTAGTGACTGTTGATTTTGAGTATCATACAAAATAGGCTATTACTCTCCTAATGTTGACACTATGTTTTCAAGTTTTAAATAAAGTCAAGAATAAGTATTTGACTTTAAAAAAAAAAAAATGAACAGAATCAAACTGGCAGAAATATGTATGTTATATTTACCATAACCGCAATAATTTTACTTTCAATTTAGTTTTAGATAAGTTTTGTTTATATAATTTGATTTTTTTTTAATGACCAAAGCATTTTATGACTAAAGGAACATAATTTTCAGGTGATCAGGGAGGTGCAAAGAAATAAACTTTTCAAATTTATCAAAACTTCAGTAACTAAATTTGTTATATACCATATATTTGGCTGTACACATATAGCAGTTATTGATACCAAGTTCAGATTCCAGCTGGAGTTGTTGCATTCATTTTCCCATAAATATACTTGGGAAAGGTATGAATCCTCTTCACCTCACAACTTCAGGTTAAATAGCAGGGCAAACTGGGCTCTCTCACCTTGATTATCAATAAACCTAGGATAAAGACAACTCTCAGTTTAAAAAATGCAACAGTGATGGAGACAGCTCAATGGTCTGCTTGCTCAGTCACCGGAGAAATAATGTTTTAATGGCTAAAACAAAATCTGTTGTCCCCAATGGAGTTGAATTGCCACCCAACAGTCTGGCCAGTAAAAGTGATATCTTCTAAAGACACAAGAAAGAAAATGAAACTGGCAATAAATTAGGATATTTTTTAAATATACCAAATACTTTTAAGTCAATATTATCAAGAACACATTTTAATCATTGGAAAGAAGAAATACTGTTTCTGATATTGAAGACACACTTTAGGGAAAAAAAAACTTTGCTTAGATTAAATATACATTGTCTCAAGCACTTTAAAATGGTACTCTGAATGTGCTCTATTGATAATTGTGAAAAGGACTATAGTAAAAGACAAAGCACAAATTGGATTATTTATTAGATGTTCTGCAATCAATGCATTAACAAACTTTTGCAAATTTTCATACTACTATGTACAGATCTTAGCTTGTATGTGCTGATCAATTTTCACTTACAACCTCCAATTAGTTCTGCCAATACATTCAACATCACACTGTTATTTAAAATCTTAAATCACCAAACATGATGTGTAGGTGCAGAACGAATGGATTTGAACACAAATTGGGAACTGAAAATAAGCTATGGATTGGCATAAAAATGACAAAGCTGCATACTTTGAAAGATTTGCCTAGTGAATCTTGTGCTAACCTCACCAATTCAAAAAAATTGCAAATAGATGAGTTATCTTTCCAGCTGAAACAACTGGGAGCCATCAATTTGTACAAATCCAGCCCAAATGGTAGATTGCACAGTATCAAAAAGGTATCCATTTTCAACTAAAACTCTAAATTTATTCTAGAATAAACAATTTGGGGCCATGGGGAACTAAAATCTTGATCAAATTTAATTTTTGTTGTTTAGGACAAAAAGAGCCCCACTGAGTACGATAAAAGTAAGTTTACAGTACATCCCCACCCCAAATAAAAAAAAAAGAAGCCCTTAAAGTCTGGCCTGTACACTAGCATATCCAGAAAAAAACAAATGTGCTTTGTTCCTCTTCAAATTGAAACTCCAACACTGTATGCAATTCATTCAAAAATCAGTGAAAAAAATGCAAACCACTCCTCATTGTCACATACACAAAATGTCATACACATATTAAAAATAACATTGAGGATTTTCAATATGAGCAAGTAAATCATGCTTGTAAAATTCAACAAAAAAGTTGGCCATCCTAGGACCTAAAGGGCTACCATCTATTTGTCTCTACATCATATTGTCAAAACTAAATTCTACAGACATGGTTGTAAATTACATGCACTCAATGAAGACAATCTCCAATTGCAGTCGGTGGGGAACAAATGCCTCAGTACAAATTTCAACATCAGTACATATTTCAATAATTTCCCTTGACAGAACACATAACACAGCTAAAAAGAGTTTTAGCCCCCAATAGCTTATTTAATATTTTTTTCACTTCACAAATTGATAGAAACTTTTAATATGTTTACTTATAATAAGTATATTATAAGTTTGACCATAAATTTATTTTTCCTAAATGCAATATTGGTATAATGTGAACCTGTTCTGTCTTTATTTATTTTGACTTTAACTCTCTTATTTTTAAATTTGACAAAAATACTTTTTCTTCTACAATAATATCAAAACAAGCGTATATTTTTATTTTATCTGCTAGTTCATAAAAATTACAAGTGAATTAAAAAAAAAAAATGATTTTGTGCAGTATATTATGTATATCAGTGTTTCCATTTTGAAAAACTGTGTCTTTTTTTTATTTTAGAATTTTGCTGCCTTAGATAAGAACAACATGTGCTCTCCAAACATGCAGGATGTCACCCTGCCTAACACTGGGGAGTATGGCTTCTATGATATGATGCTCACTGGGTAAGTTTCACATTAAGTTACTTTGTTAGTTTATTTCTGTCATGAATAATAGGTATCCTAAACTAAAATTTTCTTTTTAATATATCTAAAAACTTTTAAGACTGACATAGAGAGTTTGACAAAACATAAAACATGGTACCAAACTGATCATTCAAAGTTGGTCAGAACATTTTGAAAATTTATAAAATTTTCCGTTTTGTACCTTACTTGGCCAGAAGCCAATTTTACCTTTGTATAACTGAAGATGCTAGAGTTTCAAACAGGTGAAAATTATTATAAATTTAATGTCATAAGGTAGTCTTGAAGTAGAAGAAAGATAATAGTAATAGAATCAATAATTATTAGATCAGACCAACCTAAACATTGAGGAAAATTGTCTTCTCAAAAATGAAATCATTAAAGAATGAAACAGAAGGGCACATTTGACTTTTTATATAACTTTGATTTTAACTGTTAATACCTTGTAACTTCTTGCTATGATTAGCACAATAAAGATAAACCTAAATTTTTCTTCAGTACTGCATCAATAAAAAAAAATGTAAATACAGCCAGAAGTACAATTTGACAGTAAGGCAAAAGTATACATTCCTGAACTTGCCATAAAAAAGTATCCATTGGTGGATTACCAATTTTTGTATGTGGAGTTTGTTATATTCCATGCTAATAGGAATATATACTTGAAAAACAAGGTGGAGAAAATAAGTAAAGGTTTATTGTAAAACAGTAGAATCAGAATAAAGGTAACAGGCACAAGATCATCGCAAGTCAATCTAATAGTGAGTGCTACTATTGGAAGTTCAGTAGTTCTTGTGTAAGTCTGAGTCATACTCAACAGATTCCAGCTAGACTCTTATAGGTACTTACTACCTGAAGTGTAGTCTCTCATGGGGGTGACAGGTTACATCAGAGTTCAACAAAACAGCTCACTGTAATATGAATTAGATGCAATTTTTAACTTGTCAAAAATAGACATTAATGACTACAAAACTTAGAAATTCTTTTCATTGGTCAATCCTTTAAAACAAATGTTTATAGTAAAGCTTTAAACTAAAAAAAGAAAATGAATGCAAACACATTTATTGGAACTGATGAAAAAAACTTTCTGAACATTTGAAATGGTCCTCCTGCATTTCCTCTTCTAAAGGTGATTTATTGTCTGAATTTGTTGATAAGCCTCTGCTATAGTCCCAATATTCCTGGAACACTCCATATCCTATCATCACTTGAAAGTGGTATTATAGCAAGGTCCCGTCTAAAGACAAATGTTGATGCCACTTGTGCAATATTATCCAACATAGTCCATCAAAATAGTCTTTGGTTGGAACTAAACTTTTGATGACAGCCTTTTCTTCCTTCCTTTTTCCTTTTAGAGCTGGAGATGAAATTCCATTAGAAGTTCTATCACTGTAATGTCTATTCCCTTGATCACATAGTTTTTAACATTTTTGATATATATTACAAGGAATTTTGGGTCTTCTTCAGCCTGTTTTTCCTGCTTAAAAGCAAACTACTTCTCAGGAAATTGAGTTCATCACTCATGTAGGGGTCTCTGGCATGGAAAACATTAATACATGGAAAAACAGAAGAAAAAATGAACCAATACCCATGTAAAAAAAAAAAAGAGGTTATGCTTATCTTCTATTACAGCTTAAAGAAAATAGAATTAAAAGACAATGCATGGTTGCAAAAACTGAAGAAGTATAAAATGTATTTTTTTTTTTTATAAGAGAAAATATATAACAATTTCATTTTAACCTTCAAAATAGGACCCAATCCTTAGAATTAGTAAACAGATTATCATTTAAAAAAGAAAAGAAAAAAATAACATTTTGAAAATTACCTCCTAATTATATTTCAATTTTTTATGGGCCAGTGCTCCAAAGTTAAGTTTAAACAAATATCCAGTTCATTTTTTATTTTATTTTTTATAAAAATGTATCAGTTTCATTTTTTAAAAAAGAAAATGTCAATAAATTTTTAGTTTAATTCCCAAATCAAGAATTAGAGAAAATATTGCCAGCCAAGTTATGTAAATGAAATGAATGACCATTAAAAGGAAAACTGGACACTCTTTTTAAAATTTTATTTTAATTTTTTATGAACAAACATAAGTGCAAAATTTAAAGAACTAAAAATATATCCAGTTTATAAATTTTTTATTTTGTAATAGAAATTTTGCTTTATGTTTCCTTAAAAATATGCATAAAAACAACAGTCAAGGTGAAAATAATTCAAACGTGACAGTTTGGACGAAATACAGTTTTATAATGCATCATATAAAAAGATTTAAAATGTGTAATATCCATCGATGAAACAAGACTGATTTTAAATGGGATTGAGGTGGCAATGTTCATTCACTTTGTCAGCTATACAAATTTTAAAGCATCAAACCCAATGGTTTTGCAGAAAAGCTGAGACATTGGTGCAATTTTCATTTATTTAAGAGTTGAATTTCTTTGATATTTCATCTACTAAAGTTTACAATTTAGAAATTTTTTGTGAAAGACTACATTAAACCTTATCTTAAGCCCACCAAATTTACGAGAATCTTTCTCTCTTTCTTTAAGGTCGGATGATTTTGAGATGTTTATGGAAACACAACTTGAAATGCAACAAGTTTGAAAAATACTATGAACTTATCCATTTTGAAAATATCAAAAAAGAAGCACCTGTCATTAAAGTATTAACATAATTTAAAGAAACCTGGAGTAAATTTAACCAATAAAATAATTGTATCTCTATAAAGAGAAAAAATTAATTTTTAGTTACATTCTAATTTTATCAAAATAACCTTAAAAAAATTAAACAGCAGTTGAAATTGAAGGAAAATTACCTATTTTGACAAATTTTCACATTGTGAAGTAGGGTAGTTTGTCATGCCAATTAATAATGTGAATTAAACTTATCTTATGTTAATTCTTGTTGCTTTCACTGATCATTTTTGATGGGTAGATATTTTTTCAATTTGCCTCATTCAGTTGAGGGAACATGAAATGACATGAAAATATTCATCATCTTGAAAATTAATATTTCTAAAAGGCAGATTTTGTGTCATGGCTTTTGCTTTGCAAATATTACTAAAAACTTTCAACCATTTACAAGGAAATTCTGGTCAAAACCAGTAGCATGTTCATCAGTTAAAAAAAAAGATGGAAAACTATTATAACAATGGCATCCTCATTTGAGGGTTGTGCCATTAATTTTTCTCCTCAATACATCTTTGATCAAGAAGGTTACAGTTTCATCACTGACATATCTTTCAGTGCAAAACAAGATTATATCATTACTTGAAATTCATTGAAAATTTTTTATCATCATAAATGTATATTTTGAACTATCATCCAGAGTTTCTTCAGGCAAATCTGTTCTTCATCTCTCACCTGAACAACAAATATGTCTCAGTTTATCAAATTCATAAGAAAATCTATAATTAAATACTTTGACATGTAGATAAATTAGAAACTTATACAAAGCTTTAATTTCAGTAATTATACTAGGATACTTAGATTGTTTTTTTTTTTTTGTTTTTTTTTTAATTACAGAAGTCTGCACTTTGAAACAGGACACTGTCCATTGATCAAGCACTTATTCACTCTCATGCATTGTTTTTTGTTTTTCATCCTTTTTGCCCACCTTCATATGCTCCACTAAGTTTCCAAATTGTACAGGCATTTCTATTATCCTCCTCTTTGTGACTCATTATTATCGTTTGTAGCACTGTAATAACAGGCTGTACCCTTGTTCCTCTCTTTATGTGCACTTTTATTATTGCCTCTTAAAAAAACAACTTCTACTTAAGGGTCATCTACCAATCGTCAAAAGTAAATGTTAATTTAGAATTATAGGTTGCTACCTGCTTGGAATTTCCTTCCTTATAAAAATATCCCCCCCCTTCTCTCCATAGTTTAAGATTTACTGAAGGAATAATTATACAACAGCAAAAAAAAAAAAAGCCATATTTCATAAATTATTTTCTAGTTTGATAAAACTATCCAAGCAGTTTTCTGATTCGAAAAATTTTTTTTTCTTTTTTTAATCATACATAATTAATCTTGCACAAAGAGAAACTTGAAAATGCACAAAAAGGCAAATAAATTCCATTAAAACCTTTTATTATACATACATTTTATTGTCACAATAAATTGGTATTAACCAACCATTGTTGGTATAATTTATATGCAATATATCATGTGAGTTTCAGTTCATAAAACATAGATTTTGTTTTCTACTTTAACATTATTTGTAGCAGTTCTTATTGCTCCCAAAATCTTCTTTGCTTAATTATTGTTTTTTATTCTGAAATATATATATATATATATATATATATAATTAGGTACCTCCCTCAAAAAATCTTTACCTAAGTTTAAAATGCATTTTAAAAATGAAATAAATCTTTCTCTAATTCCATTTATAATAGATAATATTTAATATTTCCAATAAGCAAAATACTTTGCTGTATTATTTAAAACCTGATTTAGATTTATTGGAATCTTCTTTTTTCTTATCAGTAAAATCTATAAATTAATCCATATTCACAAAATGACACAAAATAATTCTCTTTTGTTAAAAATTAAAAAAAAATAAAATGTACTTTTCTTGACTATCTGTCTATATTTCTGAGATGAGGTATTATTATTTACGTTATTCGGACTATTGTCCTCATCTTTGTCACCATATTTATTACAACGTTTTGGCCGTTGTACGCTCGGGCCTTCTTCAGGTGGTTGGAATGTCAAACTGAACCCTTAATTTCACTCACTGGGGTAGACTGTTCTAGTTCCACGTGCCATGTTTAATGGATGTCAGTTATCAGTTATCTCCTGTTAATTTCCCTCTGAAAGTTCTCCACTGCCTTAACCGGGTATTGAACTCACACACTTTACATTTCTTTCCGCAGCTGTACGGATAGCATACACACAGTCTTTGGTCATGTTCTCCTCTATGGGGGGGGGTCTTACTCGGGAGAGATATCTGCAAAGTGTCATCAAGCTTTTGAAGGT